TATATATATATGTATATATATATGTTTCCACTTGCCTTACTCACATCAACTATAAAACATACATTTGATAAATCGTTAAGATTCCATTGTTTTTCCAGGGAAAATTGTCACAGCTCTGTTCCTAAGAACCGCATGTTGAATATATCTGTTATCTTTACAGTTGACATATTTCCCAGCTAAGTTGCTGCTTTTTCCAAATGAGCCACACACCTATCCCGTTACCACCATTTATCATGAACATTTTCTTTTCAGGAAGTCCTTAATTAAATATCCTAGCAGTTATTTCCCCAGAAATAAGGTGTGTGTGTGAGGGAGTGTTTGTTCCCCAGGCTTTGAATAATCCATGTGAATTACAGTTACATTAAGTTGAAAAATCTGCTTCTGGTTAAGATAAAATGATTAATGATTATCTGCAGACTACAGACTATTGATACAAATGACTAAAACCTAAATATTTACATAACAATGGAATAGCTGCAAAATGTCAAAAAAAAAAGAAGAAAAAAAACGCAATCAAAGTGTGTTTATCTTTTCACAAAAGGGAGCGCACGCGAACGTGCAAGGGCTTGTTTGTGTGTAGCGTATATAAACGGTCAGGATTGTAGTTCGTGTGGTGTGTATGCCATTCAGTGTCTAAGAGCAGAGCAGAGCAGAGCAGAACATTTTGACATCCTCCTTTGGTAAGTTCAAATGAAATACACTCTTAAATTAAAACATCAATTGAAAGTAATATGCATTTTGCAATGGTATTTTAAAACTTGATGATTCAATGATGATGGTACAGACGCAAATTCTTTTTTGCTGTTGACATGATGTGTTGGGAGTGTTTATGTACAAACACAAAACCAGTCATGTAAAAAAAAAAAACAGTACTTTAATTTAACTTATAATGGTGAAACTGCTATCATTCACCTTTCAAGAGAGCTAAAATTAATAAGTAGAACATTTCTATGCCACGCTCCAGACAAAACGAGGTCTTTTGTAATTATTATTATAAGGGCTTAACTACACGGTCTTGAAAGCCATTGGTTCCACTTTGAATTCTACATGATGAATTCTCTATAAGAAAATACTTACAGAAATAGACAAACAACATATAGCTAAGTTTTTCTCCCTTTTCTCCCTTTTTCTTGTTTTTTAATTTTTTTAAATTTTTGACAGATAAAGAAACTAGTACTTGATTCTTAGGTTTAGACTACGACGACGAAATCAGGACAAATACAAAGGAATACTTGCAAATGCTAAATTACATTAGCATCATACATGATGTTTTGCTCCATTTTCACTCATATTACCTAAGCTAAAGAATAACAATAACAACATGTGTGACCTTGTATGGCATGTTAATCATTCTCACTTGTGTTTCTCTCAGATGATGTATGTTTCAGTAAGGCTCCTTCTCCCTTTGGTGTTTGTTATGATGCCTTTGTCTACATGTTCAGGTAAAGTCACTACATGTTTAGTTCTGTTTCATTTTAAACAACTTCTATCATTAATGATTCAATGAAATAAGCTGCAATGCTGCCATCTAGTGACTAGAGACTTGTTTGTCGTTCATAATGTTCTGTTCATGTGTTATGAAGGAGTGAACAGTTAGGGGAATGGGAGTGGGAGTGAGGAGGTGTGTGTATGAGGAAGAGGGAGTGCCAGGTTAGGAAAAGGAGTTTTTGGGGAAGCTGGGTTGAGCACAATAAAGGAGTTTAGAACGAGTTACTGCAATTGTTGTTTCAATAAACGTTCTTCAGAGCACTGAGGCATCTGCCGGGGCATTAAACTATTTTTTAGAGCACACAACATTTCCCAAAACCAAATAGCGGTGAAAAAACCTGAAAACGATTCTTACAGATATAACATAATCGTGCTAATATCGGGCCAATGATATTGGTCGGTCGATATTATCGGACATAACAGTAACCATCATTTCATCTGTATAAATTCTTCTGACCTATTTCCAGAAACAGGACGGTCTAACTGTAAGAACTTCCAAGTGACCCAGACTGTTTTAGAAGGCGAGGCTCTGTATTTTACTCATGGTTCCCATTCGAACCCATCCAAAAGCAATTTGACGTGGTACAAAAATAACACCAACCTGGAACCGATTTCATCTGACAAGAAAGAGAGAATACATTTTTACAACAGCAACCTTGTATTCTTAGACCTTCTCGTCAAGGACTCTGGCTTTTACACTGGATGGTAAGTAATATCTTGCTTCAAAGTATTTCCCCCACCTTCAGAGTTGCCTGCCAAATGAAACTTCATTATTGCATTTAAGAAAAATCTAATATATAAATATCTAAAATATCTAAAAATTTCCTTCTATTTTCTAGGCGTACAGATTCTTCTGAAAAGTGCTTCAATTACAATCTATTACTTAAAGTCCTGAAGGCAAGTCAGCGAGGAAACCCCGATATTCTTTATGGAGAAATTGACATGCCCGGCATTAACAAAAGGATCACCTGCCCACAGCCTGTCGACGACACTTGTCAAAAACGTGGAGGAACATATAGCTGGTACAAGGTAGATCGACTACAGAGACACCCTGGGTAATTTTGAAAGTCACTCAAAATAGTGGCTGGAATAAAGAAAGTGAAAGTGAATTGTTCGTCATTGTGACACAGCACACCACTGCACACACAACGAAATGTGACCTCAGTTTTTAAACATGAAAGTGAACAGTGGAGCAGTGTGGGGGGGACGGTGTCACCACAGATAATTATCGAGTAACATATGGTCATAAGACATATTGGAAGTTGCTTAAGGCGCCACAAAAAAACCCGCAATTTGTTTCATTCTAGATACCTTTCTTTAGTTTTGAGCTACAGATAGCAATTTTGCCTCTTCTGAAAACGGTGGCTGTCAACTCCCAGCCCTAATAATTATATTATGATCATGTGCCCCCTACCCCCTGTGCTGCAGAACTGCAGACCCTGGTCAGAAACAAGGGCAGTAGGTTAGGGCGACGTTGAAATTGCATGATGAGAGTTTAGCCTCATGGTTGAAGAAAGCAGAAGAAAGCCAGGTGCTTGGGGGCAGTCCATACCATGTTCCTTCTAGCCCATTCCAGTTCCTCTACTGCCCCGGTGCCAGCACTACCGCCAACAGCTTGTGTTTACCAACATCGTAATCTCTATGAGCAGGCTGGGACTAGGTGAACGAGTTCGAGGCTAACGACAGCAGGCTGGGACTAGGTGAACGAGTTCAAGGCTAGTGGGCAAACTAACTTCTTCATATGCTGCCTTCTCCGGCAGTTATCTAAGTGAATGGAGAAAATATTAGCTGCGTTGGCCAGATGGTGACATATCATTGTCTTTTATTTAGTCTAGAAGTCCTTCTAGTCTCTAACCCCAGTGTTTGCACTTGTTCTGCAGAACTTCTCTCTTATACCTGGTAACCAAAACGTCCTGTGGGTATATAGTGCTACCAGAGAGAATAAGGACATCTACACTTGCATGTGCACCTGGGAATACAATCAGAAGCTGTACAATTCATCAGGCTCCAGGGAGCTTAGAGTTGTAGGTAAGAGAGCATTCCATGCCAGTGCAGATCACTGACATCACAACAAGTGTTACTAGGAAGTTGGAGATGCTCATAACATTTGTTGGGTTTTTTTCTAACGTTGAATACAGAGGACATGTTTACCAGGTTGGAAATCATCTCACCAGGGTTGATGGAACTTCTGAAGGTTGTGTATGAAGGTAATATTTTAATGACTTTAATACAGATGTTTGTATTATTTTTAAGGAAAGTCAACAATTTGGGCAATTCAAGATCAGTCTCTTCCCACTCTCTAACAAAGGATCATCAAATATGTTTCAATTATGTCTAATGCGATGTGTCTTTTATTTTCCACCAGGTCAGAAACTCACCCTGAACTGCACAGTCTTATGTGGTCAGAATGAAGAAACGGAATGTTCTGCTCACTGGAGCTCAAGTGACAGAGTCGAAGACCAGGGATTTAAAAATAAAAGATACAATACATACACGGAACTGTAAGTTAAAACAGCAAATTACAACATTAGCCCAACAGACTTCTAAATAGACAAATGTTATATTACAGTACATTTTATTCACTCTGTTTCACCTCAACGTACTTTTTCCATGGTACTGCATTTAAGAAGGCCCATAAATGTATCTAATCCTCCTTCATTCTCACTACTTTACAGTATTATTTTCTACCTCTACCTGCAATTAATTACCAAAACCTTTATTATATTTTTCAACTAAATTTCCCATTAACTCAGGGATGTCAAACATACGGCCCTCAGGGCAAAACCGGCCCATTAGGGTGTTCAATTCAATGTTCAATGGCTTGATGAAACTAAAGAAATAAACATATTCGTCAGGTTCAGGATATTTTTCGTATTTTCATTAAATATAAACAATAATAATACATATCAAATATGCTTGTACTGCATGAAAACAAAGAGAAAAAACATCCATTGACACCCATGCATTAACTTTTCATACTTTCATACTACTGGCTACATGTTTTTAATTACTGCTAATGGTGGGACTTGGTTAAAAAAAAAATATATATATTTCTTTACAATGACTATACCGTCTATGACAGACTAGATTTATATTTCTATAAATATATTTATAATTCGTATTTATTTATATAAAGACGACAAAATTTAGAATATCCTTTGTAGCACTCGTCACAAATTATGAATAGCTCTTAACCTGAAAGGGTCTGAGTAGGGTTGCCGTGACACCGATATCAGTTTCAGCATTCAGTCCTACACAATTAAGTGACAATCAAAAAGAATATAATATAAATTACTTTCAAGTACATACCATAGAACTGGTAATATATCCTGGGCTAGCCATGGTACTTCAAAGTTTGTTCAGTGCAATAATAAATTGTAATAACTGGTTTTTGGCTTTCAGTGATTTAATTTGTCACTGTGTTTAGCTGCATAGCATTTTCACATAACTGTCTGACTGTCTGTCTCCTCTAAAATCTAAAGTGATCAAATCTTCTATGTTCTTTTGTCAGAACCACTGGGAAAACTTCCAAGCAGACCATTGCCACTGAGATTCTGACGATCGATACAGTTACTGCTGATGACGTCCATACTAATTTCACATGCACAGGACGCAACATTTACACAACAGAATCTGTCTATTTAAGACTTAAACAAGGAGGTCAGTCATAAAGGGAATGTAAAGGTTACGGAGTTGTTTTAGGATGTGGGATGTCTTTTCACTTGGTCAGATTGTAGCCACCGTTGAAGTGTTTCAACAAATAAAACATGAACTTCCTTGATGGCGTTTGTTTTTCAGAATCAATCTATCCACTGGCGGTCACAGGAGCATGCGTGATCTTTTTCTGTCTGTTAGCTGCGCTCCTGGTAAAGTGCTTCGTTATCGACCTAACCCTATGGTTCAGACCATACATCCAACTTTGCAGCCACCCTAAAGGTACACGCAGACCAAAGGTCATTCTTTTACAATTCTAAAAAAAATATGTGAAACCAAAACTATTGATGCTGATTGAGGCTGGCAGCCTGTCTAGGGTCAGTAGTTGACCTGCAGAGAACTTGCCTACCGACTAGATCTTTTAACTAAAGGTCGTTTGTTCAGAATTTCTTTTTACAAAGAAAAATCACTGAAGTATCACAGAACACTGCACTCCAGCAAAATGTGCACAGAGAGCTTTAATTAGTCAGCAGCACCCCCTAGTGCACCATTGCGTCCTGACAGGCTCTCACAATAAGAGGAGTTTACCACCACTGAACTGAACTTGGGATGAACTTAAGGACATCTACAGACCAGGTTCAGACTAGCTTCCCTGCTAACCAAAGACAGGATCTCTAACATTGTTAGAGATATTCTAACTGAGTAAACAGTTCCTGGTGCAGAGGGGGAACTGATATATCATATATTGCAAAAGTAAAACCTTACAGAATCTGCATTAGCATATGCTCCCTAACAAAATATACATTACCTTTGCTAATTAAACACAATCTAATAATAACACAAAGCTATCATGCGATGACAGGAGCACTCACGCATCAAAACCCTAAACAATCTTGTAGGTAACTTCAAATCTTTTAAACTATCCTTTGCTTACATATTTAATGCGATAATTTATAAATGTATGAGCGGCACAATATATACATATATATTGTCTAATGTAACAAACGTGTCCGTTCGAAGACTTTTTGTTTAACAAAGAATTATTTGTTTCCATTCGATACGTATTTTGTTTTGTTTATTACTCCTAGGAACAGGCATGGGGTTTGAATTAACGCCTTACAGCTGGACGATTAAGACCCTCAAAACACAGTGATGTTAGATCTCTCTGTTTAGTACACTATTACAATATAAAAACAATATATGACCTACTTTTCTTTAACAGATGCCAGGTTTTATGATGCTTACGTGGTCTACCAGACACAGTTCATGGACAAGGACACTGAGGACATGCTCAGTCAGTTTCTCAACCATGTTTTACCCAATGTCCTAGAGGAGAAGTGTGGATATCGACTCTTCATTCATGGCAGGGATGACATACCTGGGCAAGGTAGGGCTCAAATTCTGTGAATATTCACCCGTTCATTTTTCTGACCGATCGAATCTCTGGTATATTGCAATCGTCAAGGTACAAAAAAAAAAACAAAAACAAAATAATAAAAAGAACCATTACAAATTGGACCAGATATGATTTCAAACTAAGTTCAAGTAAGTAAGTAGTCAATATCTTAACCAGCAGATATCATAAAAATACAATCAAGTAAAACTAAACTTAACATATTTGACTAATCTAAAAGTGGGGGCTGCATAGTGAAAACTCTTTGGGTAGTCTAAGGGAATTTTTCACTAGTGTTGGTACTTTTGCAATTAATTAAACATTTAAATCACACATCAATATTTAAACGAACATAATTTTTCAATTCAAACCAATTTTGTAGATAACTGAATACACGAATAGATATAAACAGGTGTTTAAAGTACATTCCAGACACGTACGTTCCTTTTTTTTAACCCAACACCCCATTCCAATGTTCGTGCTAGGAACCTGCACGCTAGCTCTGGTATCTATGCTAACGGCTCCCTGTTTTGCATGTCGTCGTTTCTTCGTTGCTTATGTTTCACACATCAATGTCCTTATATATATTAACACCTCACAGTGTTTTGACTGAAACTTTCCATCCACCGGGCCAAGTTACGCTGTCCCTTTCCACCCGTCACCCTCGCCTGCTGCTGCTTTACCGGCAAACCGTGTATCGGCTCATGCATATACAGTAATAGTGAGTAGACACCGCATCGACCGCTACTGTCTAACCGCCAATTTGGACCGGTTTCTGTAATTAATTCATCAAAAACAAACTCGGTAAAGGTTCAGCTTTACGTGTCACTCACAAAAATTGAAGGAACAATATTTAGGAAAAATTTAGGAACAATATAGCTTTACGTGTCACTCACAAAAATTGACGTTAGGGACAATACGACTGTGAGTGGTAATACTTGTTTATGTCTATATGTGAATTTGCAATGGACTTACAATCTTAAGGTGTCCCCTGCCCTTGCCTAATAAATGCTGGATTTGGCCACAGCAATTTACCCCCCAACCCTAATAAAGATAAAGCCATACAGTGGATGCTACTGATGTCCTCAATTGCACTAATCTTTGCTCAAACCCCACAGACCGTGTGGAAATGGTAGAGGACAACATCAACAAGAGCAGGAGACTGATGGTCATTTTAAGCCCTGATTTGGGTTCAAGAAATGAGAGCACAGACCAAAGTCTCGCCTGTTTTAACAGTGGAATTCCAGGAGTGGAATGGCATGACTGGCAGGTAGGAGCAAAAGCTACATAAATCATGTATGAAAAAAAATAAAATGACACAAGCCTTTCACAAGCAACCCGTTTGGTCAATTTGGAACCCTCAAGAAACATTGATTTATGCCCTTTGAAGCTGAATTTCCACATACTTATACCTCTTACTTTTCCTTTTTCCAAAAGTGAATGCGCCTATCAATACTTATACAGTCCCAAACTCCTTCATTTACTAGAATTTACACCCAATAATTTGATTGAGATCTACCTGAAGATCATACAGGGAGTGCTGGTAGATCATAGTAGATCAAAGTAAAAAAATAAAAGGATCTAATAGCAACTAAATATTCCAATTGTTGATTAAAATCATTATAATCTAAATTGTCCAGGTGGTTCTCCATCATGCACTGGTGCAACGAGAGTTAAACGTGATTCTGATACAGCTGGGAGGTGCCGAGCCCTCGGGATACACCCACCTTCCCATCAGCCTTCAGCATTTAATCCGTAAGACTGCCCCTTTGAGATGGTCACAGGAATATCGGGGTGCTGCAGCGTGGAACTCAAGGTTCTGGAAGAAAGTGCGCTATCTGATGCCCACGATCCCTTCAAAGAAATGTCAACAGGTTGTTTAAATCCATTTGCAGTTCCACCTGCTCTGGATTTCTCTGATTTCAGTAGAAACTTTTTAACCTCCCAGGCATGCATGTCTGTCTGACCTCTACTTCGCTTGGCTTTTTACTTGGACAAAAAAATGGTATTCACTGGAAATACAGTATGTCAAGAAATATATGCGAATAATATTTAAAAACTCAAAATTAATGAATGTATACTCATGACCTGGTTGATCTTTAGTCACAAAGTTGACAATAAACTTGTGTGATACTGGTTACTTCAAGATTTTCATTAGCTCTTTAGGTTGCATGTGATCACATTCACAAGTGACTAAAACTGCCTTAAATTATTCAGAAGTTAAGCCTTTGGAAAAACAAAATATTCGAGGCACTTCAGATTACCAGGCTTATGGCTTGGAGTGAAGAACAGAGGCTGCCATAATGAAAAAAAGTTATAAGGTGAGGCCCGCCTCCCCTGGGGGGCGCCATAGAGTCACAAGAATGCCTGAATGAAGTTGCATGCATGAAGTACAAATAATCATTTATGAATGCCCTTTTTTAAAAGTTGTGAAAATAAAACGTTTTCAAATACATTCTATCGGTTGTTGTTGAAACTGATCATTGCCAGGAGCACACAGAAAGTGCATTTACTGCAGAGGTGTGTGTGGGTTATGGCAGGTGGACAGGATTTTGGGAAAGGAGGAGCTCCGCTGTTTTTACCCACTCTATAGGGGAGGCTCACATTCACCCAATTTGAAAACCCTTGACGGGATCACAACAAGCAAGGAGTTAGGAGGAGTGCTTATGGCTAATGTTGTTAACAGTGTACGATACGGTGCTGTGGAACATGTCCCATTTACAAATTCTTTTGAAAAGATCAACAGAACAATCTTCACTGCTCTTTTCTTTTTCTTGTTTTAATAAAACAAATAGTGTTTTTTTACCAGATGTGTATCTTAATTTCAGAGAAAGAAACACAAAATAGCAATACCGTGTATGTCGGGTACATGCTAAAAAAAAGGACAGGGATGCAGACTCTATGTTCAAGATGTGCAGTTGTACTGGAGTCATTTCGTTTTAGCAGAATTGAATTGTACTGTGGAGGGAAGCTAACATATACAGTCCTAGAATGCAGGAATTCAAAAACTGCAATGACATATAATTACCCCGATCAGATAAATATACAAACGATAAAATGTAATTCAAATGATCCCTTGAAGGTAGCAAATGTTTTACAGCACATTTAAAATATTCAGTTATACTGTTCCTTTGTTAAAATGTTAAATAATTAAATAGGCAAATGTTGGTCATAGACCAGTTTTGCAAGACTTTTCTCCTGAATTCTGCCTCTCATGTGCTCTTAGGCCACTCCTGTGACGAAATGTTTTACCACAATCAGAACAACTGAAAGGTTTCTCACCTGAATGAATTCGCTCATGTGACCTTAAGCTACTTTTTTGAATGAATGTTTTTCCGCACTCTAAGCAACTAAATGGTTTGTCTCCTGAATGAATCTTCTCATGTAACCTCAGACTGCTCTTGATTGTAAATCTTTTGCCACATACAAAGCAGACAAATGGTTTCTCGGTTAAATGTGTATTTGCATGTGTTTTTAGGTTACTCTTCTGACTAAATCTTTTCCCACAGTCTGGGCAGCTAAATGGTTTTTCTCCTAAATGAGTCTGCTCATGCAGCCTCAGATTGCTCTTGCAAAAAAATCTTTTTTTGCAGTCTGAGCAACTGAATGGTTTCTCACCAGTATGAATTTTCACATGTCTATTTAAGTTGCTCTGATGGCTAAATGATTTATCACACTCGGGACAACTAAAAGGTTTCTTTGCAGTATGAATTTTCACATGAGCATTCAGACTGCTGTCATTTGCGAATGTTTCACCACAATCAGTGCAACAAAAGGTACTTCCTGTATGAACGCTCACATGCTCCACCAACTCATTCTTTCTTTCAAATCGTAGCCCACACTGTGAGCAACAAAACGGTTTCCTTTTTTTATGATTTTTCTCATGTGCAATTAGACTTTTCTTTTGAATAAAAAGTTCCCCACATTCCGAACAACTAAATGCTTTTTCTTTTTTATGAATTTTTGCATGTAAAGTGAGATTTCTCTTCAGGATAAATGTTTTCCCACACTCAAGGCAATTATACGGTTTTTCTCCTGAATGACGTTTCAAATGAATCATCAGGTCATTCCGTTTCCTAAAACATTTCCCACACTTGAAGCAACTGTATGGTCTCTCTCCGGTATGAATTCTCTCATGTGACTTCAAATTATCCTTTCGAGAGAATCCTCTCCCACAGTAGGAGCAAATGAATGGTGTCTCTCCTGTATGAACTTTCTCATGTGTTCTTAAACCTCCAATTTGACCAAAACTTTTTCCACATTCAGAACAACTGAATGGTTTCTCTCCGGTGTGAAGCTTCTTGTGTGTTATAAGGCTACTTTTGGCGGTGAATCTTTTCCCGCACTCAAAGCATTTAAATGGTTTTTCTCCAGTATGACTCTTCGTGTGTGTCAGCAGATTTGACTTGGTGGAAAATCTTTTCCCACATTCGAGGCAGCTAAATGGTCTCTCTCCAGTATGCGTTACCTCGTGTATCAACAGATTTGACTCGTAGGTAAATTTCTTACCGCATTCCGAACAACTAAACCGCTGTTCAGCTGAGCTACGTCTAGCACCATTGGAAACTGAAAATGCTTTGAGGGTCGTTGAACTTGACGACTCATTGGTTTCCTTCAAATCATCATTAAAATGTAGGTATGAATTCCTAGCTTGGTTCGGTCCTTCTTCACAGTCCACATTATCCTCAACAGTTATGCTTTGATAATATAATCGCGTGGACATAAGATTTTCTTCATCTTCCTCACTATTATCGGTGTCAGTTGTGATACCGTCCTCTTCTCGTTTAATGCAAATTTCTTCCTCTTCTTCCTTGACGTGTGGTTCCGTCTCGTCCTCCCTAGGTCTCCAATCTATCTGCTCTGGGAAAGCCTCTTCTTTAATTTCCAATATATGCACGTCATCTGCGGATGAGAGCATTGAGACTTATTAAAAAGAACTCTCCTTACAGGTTAAGATTTTGTTCCTGATGAGAGCATTGAGACTTATTAAAAAGGACTCTCCTTACAGGTTATAAGATTTTGTTCCTTCAAAAATATATTTAAAAAAAAGAAAACAGGAAGTTGTCATGATCCAAGCAAAAACCGCGCGCTTGTCTGAAAGCGCCAACATGTCTGCGGTGTGGACGTATTTCAATATATCTGAGAAGGACCCAGATTCTATTTCTCTGCCAGACATTTGACAATTAATTATTTGGACAATAATAATTTCTTACTTATTTATTATTAATGTATGCAATTGCAGTGCCTTGATTTCATTGAGGTTTCGTACACAGTACATGCATGGAATGGTGTTACGGTTTTCAGCCTTGGTTTCTTCATTTTCGGTTTCAATTTTAATTTCGGTGCATCCTGTTTTAAAATAAATCTGTGCTACAACAAGCTCCAAAAAAATAAAAATAAAAGCTAAAATTCTCAAAAGATCATTCGTATTTCTTAGTAGTATGTGGTTCAGTGTTTCTCCTAAAAAGAGTTTGTGAGTTGACTTATTCTTAGTACCTGGTACAGAACATTCATCTTGTCCAGTACTCCCCGATGATTGCTCTTCCACGGTGTCTTCTTTGTTCAGGTTCAACTGTAAGGACGGAGGACTATTTTCATCCTCCTCACTTTTTACAGTCACTGCGATATCATCCTCCTTCTCCTCTTTAACGTAGACTTGTTCAAATTCCTCCTGGTCCAGAGTATGTTGCAAATCCATTGGCTTAAAAAGTAACTTCTTCCTTAATAAAGAACACTTGTGGGTCATCTGTGGGAACAAGTGAAATAGACTAAAGAGAGCAGTTCTGTTCTGTCACTATGAGTCCGTATTCCCACTGTAAAATTAATTGCGCAAAGCATTGCACATTTGTTTCCTAAGTTGACAGGTTTCAGACATGACGCAAGTCTTTATTATGAACATGTTTGTGGTATGATTTCCACCAATTAATTTGTCTTTTTAAGTTGAATATGGAAATATTTATCATTCTAAAGAGAGTGCCTCGGTCGGTTAGCATCATTGGCTGCTCTAGAAATCGATGTTTATTTGTGTTGCTGCTCCTTTAATTGCATTTATGCAAAACATTTAAAATCAAATAAATATTTGTACTAATTGTTTACTTGTCTTGCCCGAACCAATATGGCGGCGGTGTCGATTTGGGCATATAATATAATGTAAATTCGCAGCAGGAGAAGCTAAGACCATTAGCACCGCTGTTCGTGTGCAGGTTAGATGGCTTATCCCTACTTCACCGACTCAGGTAATAAGAAACTGACCTGTCACGTGCTGCTTGACTACGGGTTACAAATCGGCATAGCGCAGGCTCCGGTGTTCGGTCTCACTGCACTGTACTTGACCTAAACACAGAGACCGGCGCAGTGCCTCCTCCCGGTGCACTGCTCCTCTGCCTCGGCTCTCTCCCTTTCCCCCAAAACAACAGCAGCAAACCTACAGTCGCAGCAATGCTATGTTCATATAGTGTCAGTTGCAGCTGTTAAAAGCGGCATATTTTAGCTATATTCCGAAGCAAAATACAAAAACATACAAAAGGACGGCTAACATTAGCATAAATGCCCACAGAAAAACAACCACCCCAATGGATGTTGTTCTTCTTTTTCGCCTAATGGCGAATGGTACCAGCTTTCCATGTGCGTTACTGCCACCTTCTGTACTGGAGGGAGCAACATATTTAAGCAAGATTAAATGTGGTATTATTTTGCAAGCTTCAAGAGCACCCAAAAGAGCCTTGATTTTATTGGTTGCTTTTAATATAATATAATATAATTTTTTTCTTTCTTAATTGTCAGATACATCGAAAATAGTTACTTTTTATTTCAATTCCTAATAAAATTGTTCTTTAAAGTTAACATCTGACAGATGTTTGAAATTTTAAATCCAAATAGCACGGCTCGTGTATCCGCCACGTTTGTAGTTTTTTAAAGCGATTACTTGGCTCCACCTTCCATATTTAGAAAAACGAAGGTGGGGCTTTTTAATACACGCCACTTTTTCTTTTTTTTTTTAACCGGCAGCAGTTGCCAGCCAACACCATTAAGTGTAGATTGTGTGGGGTGGGCTCAGGGTGTCTCTTTATGCCTTACGCTGCGTGAGCGGATCAACGCAGCCGCTGAACGACTCTCTGCTGCGGGAGGACACGGCGCAGCTCCCGGAGCTGTGAGCGTTGCTCGGCGAGCGGTTAATGGCGGAGGAGATGGCCGGAGTGTTGGAGGAAACCCAGCGGTCAGAGCCGGGGATCCGCCGCCAGAGGAGGCTGCTAGGAGGCTGCGTCAGGCTGCGCACAGCAGGTCAGTTTGTGATCAGTGAAGCTGGGAAAAAGTCCAGACAGAGCAGATCTGGAGGAGAATGATGATAGACGATGAACTAAGGTGTGATCCATTTCACTGCCTGCAGCGGGCAGTCTAGTCTAGACTTGTCCACGATCTCGTGCCTTGCATTTCGCAGCATTCTGGTTTTTATTTGGGGTACTGTATTCTGTTTGTAAACAGAATGTGGTTGTAGTTCCCCGTTCTCCCCTGCAGGGGCAGCCTAAGTGCGAATGCAAATCCTTGGTCTGCTGAATGTGTAACATGCAGCAGTGCAAACATTAATTTATAATAGATTACCAAAACGTAGCTTTTTTTAAAAAAAATCGAAATCTAGTTTCATAGAAACCAAATAAAATAAAGTTATTTAATGAGCTAGACTTTTGAAAATTTCAAGTTCAAGAAAAGTTTGTATATAGTATATATTTTTTATAGATGTTAAAGGAAAACTTTTTTTAAATTTATTTACTTTTGAACAGAAAGGGTAGAATTGCAGTTTTGATTACCTTCTAGTAGGACTTTTAGTTCTAGTGATTTCTCTGTGTCCTTTCTGTCTTTTGCAGGCAAAAAGCAGTTGTTCATAACCAAAGAACAGTTTCTCCCAGGGCAGCAGGAGTGGAGCATCAGTGTGGGCCAGAAAGAACCGGAGCACCCGCACATTAAAGAGGAAGAGGAGGAACTGTTTATTGAACAGGAGCGGGTCGACATCACTGTCGTGACTGTGAAGAGTGAAGGGTTTCATCAGGGTCAAGTCCAAGAGACCACAGAGAATCATGGAGCAGGCATGTCATGTCCACACGGGTTTGAAGCAGGTAATGGGAATCAGACTGAACACTGGAGTCAAACTGGAACTGAAATGTTTAAACACAACAATATGAAGTGCAGATTGACTTAACGCAGTCTTGACTCTCTCCCACAGAACACCAGCAGTTTTTGGGGATTAAAGAAGAGTCGTCTCCCAGCTGCAGTCCCAGTGTAGACCTGCAGGGGTCCGAATTCTGTCACATCAAAGAAGAAAAAGGAGAGGATGATATCGTTGCTGTGGTTGTGAAGAGTGAGGATGACCAAGAAAAACATCTCATTCCTGGTTTCACGGAACTGAAATGCAGCTTGGGTTTAAAAGAACATCCAGAAGGAGGTGCTGAAAATACAACCGTAGATTCGTCTGAGACTGAAGACAGCGAAAGTGAGTGGAATGGAGCTAACGAACTTCAGGGTTCGAAAATGACCAACAGAAATTCAGCTCCAAGTGACATAAGCGGTAACGCTCATGAAGAACTCGGCAGTTGCGAACTTGGATATGAATTGCGTCTCCAAAGTCACGAGGAAAGTGATTTTGGAGAGAAACCATTTAGTTGCTCTTTGTGTGGTACAAAGTTTACCCGAAAAAGTAATCTGAGAAAACATGTCAAACTTCACACAGGTGAGAAACCATTTAGTTGCTCCAATTGTGGTAAAAGGTTTACAGAAAAAAGTGATCTGAAGTCTCATGAAAAAGTTCACACAGGAGAGAAACCATTTAGTTGCGCCAACTGTGGTAAGAGCTTTTCTCACCGCCACAGTCTGAAGTCACATGAGAAAATTCACACTGGAGAAAAACCATTTAGTTGCTCTATGTGTGGGAAAAGTTTCACGCAACAGAGTAATCTGAAGACACATGAAAAAATTCATACCGGAGAGAAACCTTTTGGTTGCTCTGTGTGTGGTAAAAGATTCAACCAAAGTAGTAGTCTCAGGACCCATGAGCGATTCCATACAGGGGAGAAGCCATTCGGTTGCTCCGAGTGTGGTAAAAGGTTTACACAGAAGAGTGACATGAAGACACATCTGAAGATTCACACGGGTGAGAAACCATTTAGTTGCTCTGAGTGCGGTAAAAGATTTATCCAAAGTGGTGGTTTGAAGTATCACGAGAAATTCCATACAAGAGAGAAGCCATTCGGTTGCTCCGAGTGTGGTAAAAGATTCAAACAAAAGAGTGATTTAAAGGCACATTTGAAAATTCACACGGGTGAAAAACCATTCAGTTGCTCCAAGTGTGGGAAAACATTCATTCAAAAAAGTGGATTAAAGTCACATGAGAAAAGTCATAAAAGGGAGAAACCCTGAGTTGCTGACACACAGTTTGAGATTGAACGTGACAGCGTGGCTGCAGTGAGCTGTCGATTCAAACGATTCTCTTCATACAAAGCACTGATTTAAAAAGACTTGATTGAAATGCTACTTGTGCAACTGAAAAATGTCAAACTGACGAAACGAGGAGTGAAGAAGAGTCATTGTTGACAGTCAACTGTCTGATTCCTTTCCTGACTTGCACTTTGTATTTAAACTGTTGCGTAAATATGTCGAATTACGTGCATACAACATTTGGGAGGAAAATTGTGAAAGAAAAATGACAAAGAATGTTGGATAAAGCATTATTAAAATACTGTTTGTCCAGGAATGGGAAAAACTAAGGCCCGGGGGCCGGATGTGGCCCGTTTAGCTTTTTAACTTTTCCAAATTATATAATTTATTTATATTATCATTATACTTCTGCCTTTTCCCTGCAATACGCACATTTCACCAATAGATGGCGTAGAAAGTGATAAAAGCATTTTAACCTTTATGCATGACTTTTACATGTCTTAATTTTCGTAGTTCACGCGAACGCTCCATGAGAAGCCCGCCCCCGTTCAAGTTTAGGACCAATTGCGGCCCGCGACCAATTATTGATGTGCATTTTTCCCAAATGATGAGTTTGGAGTTTTATGGAATCAGTTTGGAAAAATACTGTTGATTATTTACTATTTTATTGTATAATAAAAAATGATCACCTCTCTGTTTAACGATGCTGGCATCTTCCCCCATACTGAGTTTAACTTAATAAACCGTTCAAATTCTACCAGAGAGTTGAGGCATCCTTTAGATAGTGGATACAGACGGCGTTCACCAGCACTGTTGTATATGATGAATAATAAACAGACATATTTGATATAACCAGATGTCTTTCTACATATTTAATTGTGTTAGTTACAACTTTTTTTTTTTTTTTTTTGCTGTTAAATAGAGGTTTTATTCTCGCATGCACGGGTACAGCTAAATAAATTCCGCTTTTAGAAAATTCGGTAGTCTTATTTTGCCATTTTGAAAACGACAAATGTAATCACAGAAACCTGGCCATTCTGAGAAAAAGGGGAAAAAAAAGAAAATTAAGAAAGGTTCATGTTTTATTTTTAAGTTATTTCTTTTGTTTGTTTCTCTAGCGCTGAAAAAAGGAGAAAATCCGCCATATTGTAGTTTTCTGAGCCAGCACTTAGCCCCACCCGCTGTCCCCAAAGTCACCGAGGGCGGAGCTCTTGTTACAGAGTCCATCTTTGATTTTGAATATGCCCACGGACTGTGGATAAAGTCTAAATTCATCCACAGCTAGCGTTGCGGGAGCGGGTCAACGCTGCCGCCGAAAGACTTAATGCTCCAAGTGGGAAAAGACGCAGAAGAAACGGAGCAACCGAGCGGCTAAATGGCGGAGGATATGGTGCTGGAAGAACGGGAGAACTGCCGTAATGGGAGGCTGCTCGATGCTGAGCTGAAGCCCAGAATCGGGCCTGACACGGCAGGTCAGTGTCTGTTCAGTGGAGCTAGAAGAAGTCCAGAGAGAAGCGGAAGTGTTGTTTGTTGCCGAGTAGAATGTTAGATGTTAGATGATGCTACTGCGTGACTGTCACGGATTCAGGAAAAAGGCTACGTCGGAACTCCAATTAAGTCAACATTTAGTGTTTAAAAAAAAGAAGAAAATATTTATTTAAACAATTTTTTGAGTCAAGTGCGTTTGTAAATTAAGTTATAGATGGAGATAATTAGTACCAGAGCTGTATAGACCTGGGGTGTCAAACATACGGCCCGCGGGCCAAAATCGGCCCCCTAGAAACCATGGACTTGTTATTTCTAAGTAATCATTACTATTACTAAGTAGGCATTACTATTGGTCCACATTCATCCACCCGGAATGCTGAAGTTTTCCAAATGAACCAATGATGCTCGCATCTATTACTAACATATCGATAAGCCAAAGTGTTTTTTTAAAAAGACGGCAGACGTTCGTTGACTTTTGCCGTATATTTTCCACAGTATATTAGTTTATCTGTAGTCCCCACTTGTTAACAGGTTGGAGTGTAAAACAATGGTTGTTCCTCCTATTTTATATGGTTGCATTATTGCACTGTTACAACGTACTTACATAAGTGTCATGTTTGTCAATTAATCATACAGAGGAGCGCCTGAAGATAAAAGAAGAGACTGGTGCTGATGAGCGGGATTGGAAAACAGTCGTAGTTCAAGAGGAGCCCACGTGTCCGTCCATTAAAGAGGAAGAGGAGGAAGTGTACATCAATGACACTGGAGTGAGTGTGAAGTTTGAAGGAGAAGAAGATGAAGAAAAACCTCAGTTCTCACCGTTTCATCAGGGTTATGGTGAGGAGAACGGGGAAGTGGAAAGGGAACTCAAACCAGAAAGAATTTCTGGTTCATTTGGATCATTAGGACTTCGTACTGAGGACGACCCTGAAGACTTTTCGGAGGTCGACTGCTCGTCCGATACTGATGAAAGTGAGGGGGATTGGAAAGATCTAAGTGAGTCGAGTTTAATTGCAATGAAGAATGAAGCGGCCCCCAGTGACACGAAAGGTAACGGAGACGATACACGTAACTGTATGGAATACGGTGTAGAATTTTCACACGAACTCCTCCTGCTACGGGGCGAAAATGATAACGAAGACGACAAACCTTTTAGTTGTTCTGTGTGCGGTAAGAGATTCACACAGAAAGGTTATCTGAAGAAACACGAAAAATACCACACAGGAGAGAAACCGTTTGGTTGCGCGGAGTGTGGTAAAACATTTAGACAAAAAGGAGATCTAAGGATACATGAAAGAAAACATACAGGAGAGAAACCATTTAGTTGCTCAGTGTGCGGTAAAGGATTTGCACATAGGACCAACCTGAGGAATCATGAAAAAATTCACTCAGAGAAACCATTTAGTTGCTTTGTATGTGGTAAAGGATTTATACAAATGAATAAGCTAAAGTCACATGTTTTAGTTCACACAGGAGAGAAACCATATAGTTGTTTTGAATGTGGTAAGAGGTTTTCACAAAAAAGAGACCTGGGGGCACATATAAAAATCCATACAGGAGAAAAACTATTCAGTTGCTCTGAGTGTGGCAAAAGTTTTACGAGACAAGACAAACTTAAGACACATGAAAAGATTCATTCAGGAGAAAAACCATTTGGTTGCTCATTGTGCGGTAAAACATTTGCGCTAAAGAATAGATTAAGAACACATGAGAAAATCCATTCGTCAGATAAGCCGTTCAGTTGCTCTCAGTGTGGTAAAAGTTTTAGACATAAAAGCAGACTAAGAACACACGAACAAATTCACACAGGAGAGAAACCATTCATCTGCTCAGAGTGCGGTAAAGGCTTTAAGCAAAAGAGAGACCTAATGATACACGAAAACGTTCATACAGGAGAGAAACCATTCAGTTGCTCTGAGTGTGGTAAGCGCTTTGCACAAATTTGTAACCTTAAGACACATGAAAAAATTCACACGGGAGAAAAACCATTTAGTTGTTCCGAGTGTGGTAGGAAATTTAGACAAAATAGCCATCTAAGAAAACACGAAACTACTCACGCCAAAAAACGCCTACGTGCACAGGCAGTCAAACGCCATCGGAAAAAAAAGGACCAGTGTGGTCAGTTGTCAGTCGAAAAAAAGAATGGGGGCGACACTGAGCATGTCACAGATTAGGACATCGGTTTATTATTGTATTAAAAAAAAAAAACCAACAGCAGCACAGTTTCATCGCAGGGCCAACTAAAAAGACAAACCTACGGCGGGTTTAGATCCACGTGTGCCAATTTTTTCGGGACACATTGGGAGAACATGCAAACTTTGCACAGATAAGCTGGGAATAGAACCAGCAACCATTTGTTCTCAAGAGCACTAACCTCTTTTCCACAGGGTGGACCCCAGTGATTTCACAATAGCAGTGCCAATTCATTTTCAACCACCTCCAACAAACAAAATGGTGAGCAATAAAATAAAAAAAAATTAGGATCGGAGGCGCAACAGGCGAGTAATGCGCTACTAATAAAAAGGCTAACGTTTTTTGCTTTGTTAAGGTGTGAAAATTAAATTAAGTGGTGGTTTAGCAACGGCAGGGAGGTGACCTCAAAAGCATAGTGTGAACCCTGGCAATTCTACAACAAACATGATATCATAATGACTGTGTTGAAGTAGTTTGCTACCACTACCACTGAATTTAACAAAGAAGACCAAAGCTGAGAACTCTACCTTAAACTACTTAAGTAAAAAGGGAAAAAATACGTACATAAAAAAACAAGAACACCATATATCAGTTTCTTTGAAAAATCGTTACATGTCAAAATACCGTGAGCTTTTTGTCAAATTTTCTTGGACCCAAGAATCAAACAAAGAAGGTTACTGAGTACTTTTTCTCTTTCTCTCTCTCTCGCTCTAACTTTAAGCTTTGTAAAATTGTTACTAGCCTGAGTATTTACGACATTATTATGTAACCAAATTGTTTAATAATTCTTTGAACTGCTTCATACTACTTCAATAAACCATTTGAAATTAATTCAGGCTTATGTCTTTACTGTGTATTTTCTTTGAGTAAACAGGTTAGTTTGTATTAAACCCATGTCGATCTAAATCTATACATTATTAAAAGTTATTTTGTAACAGGTGGAATGTAAAGGTTGACATAAGCATAACATTTTTGATGAACCTGAAGGCGCCATATTGTAGTTTTGGAAACCAAAAGTTAGCTCCACCTTTGGTTTCCAAAGTGACGAAGGTGGAGTCTTTCTACGTACGTCCACGTTTCTGACCTACAGTAGCTCCAGTGATTAATCCACCTAGCGTGTTTGTTTTGTTCTGACCACCGGTCAAGCCATATCTAGTTCACACATGAGCAGATCGGCGCTGCCGCTAAACATTACATTACAAAAATTTGGTTTTTCTAGACAACGTTTTGCAGTTTGGGTATTAAATCTCTCTACTCGCTCCTGCAGGTGAACAGCGTTTTTTTACGATTAAAGAAGAGTTCCCCTGTGAGCCAAGGACGTGTAGAACGGCTGTGGAACAACAGGAGTCGGACCCTCGTCGGATAAAGCAAGAAACTGGGGAACTTCGTATTAAACAGGAGCATGTGGATGTTATCGCTGTGATTGTGAAGACTGAAGATGAGGAAGAAGAAAGGGTCCCCAGATTTTCACCACTTGGTCAGAATCACACTGAAGAGGACGGAGAGAACTACGGAGCACGAGGACTGGTCAGAACCCCAGCTCTAGATGACCAGACAGAACAATGTAGTACGGATGAGAGTGGACGTTTTTCTGAGTCCGGAGAGAGCGAAGGTGGTTGGAAGGAGTCTGATCGGTCGAGTACACAGACAAATACTCCGGTTTTGGGTAATGACGTTGAAAGCTACCCTGATTGTTGCAGTCCATTAACCTATAAGTCCAAACTACTGAAACAAATGTGCATTGGTTTTGAAGAGAAATCATTTATTTGCCTTCAATGCGGGAAGACATTCGCAAATAAGAAGAACCTGAGGACACATGAAAAAATTCATACGGGAGAAAAGGAGTTCAGTTGTTTTGAATGCGGAAAACAATTCACACAAAAGACTAATCTGATCAGACATGAAAAAATTCACACGGGAGAGAAACCGTTCACCTGCTCAGAGTGCGGCAAGGCCTTTATAAGTAAGTGTGTTCTGGAGTCACATGAGAAAGTTCACACGGGTGAAAAACCATTTATGTGCCTCATCTGTGGTAAAAGATACAAGCAGAGGGCTCATCTGCGGACACATTCAAGAGTTCATAGTGGAGAAAAACCGTTCAGTTGCTCCTTGTGTGGTAAAACATTTACACGAACTAGTAATCTGAGGAAACACGAAAAGTTCCACTCAGGGGAGAAATCGTTTAGTTGTTCCGAGTGTGGGAAAAGTTTTACACTTAAATTCCAACTAAAATCGCATGAAAAGGTTCATACAGGGGAGAGACCTTTCAGTTGCTCCGAGTGTGGGAAAAGATTTGCGCAAAAGAGTGACCTGAGGACACATGAAAAAATTCATACAGGAGAGAAACCATTTAGTTGCTTTGAATGCGGCAAAACGTTTTCACAGAGTAGCAACCTGCGGACACATGAAAAAATCCACAAAGGAGAGAAACCCTTCAGTTGCTCTGAGTGCGGGAAAAAATTTAGACAAAATAGTCACCTGAGATCACATGAGAAACTTCACGAAAAAAAATGAATGAATACTGATTATTATTTGAAAACAGATAATCATAGTGATGTAATCATGCACATGTTGCTTATGTAAATTACACTGGGGAAGTATTTGCAGTTGACAAAGTAAACATACAGTACAAAGTACATACCGTACATACTCATGTATTACATATATAGACAGATAGATAGCACTATTAATCCCACGGGAGTTCCCTTCGGGGAACATTTAGGATTAGCCGATTTGCGTATAAGCCGAACCCTGAAAATTCCCAAAATGGTGATTTTTACAAAAACTCGCATATAAGCCAACCATAATGTTTTCATTTTTTGCCGTGGTAAAATGTCTTACTGCTGTGTGCATCAACAAATTGAATTTCTATAATTAACTTTACATATACGAGCAACGATAAAGCCAAGTAATCTTTACTATGAAAAGTATTCTTTATGGTTTGGACGTTGCCATGTAACTCGTCTGCATTATAAATTCACAAGAAAGAGGATATATGATATATGGCTGGAAAAAGTTAGAAAATTCCATGTGACCAATTTTACAGTCTACATAATAGATCTGTATAACATTAACACCAATCTGACTATCTTCTTAAAAAATTGTGTGCCTCAGACAGTTACTTCCTTCACCAAGAGCATCTTCACTTCACACATGAAACATTGTGACCAATTTTACAGTCTACATAATAAATCTGTATAACATTAACACCAATCTATATAAAATGATTCAAACAGTATCATGTTAAATCTTGAAAAACTGTACATAAATCCCAATGTATGATATACTCTTTAAAGCACTTTACTGTATGTACTACACCAAATGTATACTTTTGTGTGCATTTGGCTGCTAATAAAGCTCTTTTTTCATCTTTTAATGGTCTTGTAATGTGTTTCCATCTCTGTTCTCTGTCATTATTGACCAAATTAAGTAAAAAATATTTAATAATCATTCTAATATTTTTAATTAGATTTTTGTCTGTGAAGCTCATCATTGCGCAACAAAATAGAGAATAAGTGTTTTTGTGTGTATGTCACAGTACCTGGTCCAACGTGTCCATTAGACTGGAACTGCTGAATCTGGATCTCCATGCTCTCCTTTCTCCTCTTTGAGACACTGGTGAAACGGCAACATGTCAGGCCTTTCAGTCACAGCAATAACGTCTTCCTCCTCCTGTTTGACAGACACCTCTGCTTCTTCTTTAATATGGGGGCGCTTAGTTCTTTCTGGTCCAAACTCATGCTTCTTTGCTTCTCTTCTTTAAACGCCAGGAGCCGTCGTTTGCCTGCAGTAGAGAATGGATAAACTAAAATTAAAGACGCAAGGACGCTCGGTTACCCTCAAAACACCGACTATCTCCTTCGTAAATAACCACATGCTCAACTTAAATTACGCTGACGACCATAACGTCACACCTATGTCCCTTAAAGAACCTACTTTTTCGACTGTTACACAGCGCTTGTCACTACCAGGTCTGCAGCACCTGCCCGGTGATTGCCATCTTCGTCATACGGCAAGCTAACTTGGTCAAACTTCATTTAAGCAACACTTTCCCATTTCCATGACGAACCGGATGTGTAGAAAGCCAGTGCCGTAAATCGTTGCAAATCGCCGTCATGGGGTTTACGCAACCACCAATACACAGCGAAGGTCCGCAGTCGTACATTATTGTTCTAATTTAAGTAAAAACCAGTAATGTATGCAATAAACAGACTCAAAGTATTCGCTAAAAATAAAGTGAAATTCTGATTAATTAATACATTTTATATGCTATCATCTCTAGCTGTAACCTGTTGTTTATGTTGGTGAAACTTTTTAAAATATTTATTTACACATACATGTACATATATACACATATTTGTATTTCTAAGTGCATAATAATAGCAATAAAGACAGATCTTGAGTCAAATCAAAATGAGCCATCCAGGTACGGCGACGCCCACTCTGACATCACTGCAGTCTACATGAGTGTGTGTTCTTAACTGAACAAAAACTAAGAAAAGCTCACAGAGCACAGCCGAAGAACAGTGAGCGATTTCCAGTGGTGAGTAAAGACCAACATTTACCTTCTTTCCCCTTCATTTTCTCTTTGTTGGCATAGGAATAATCTACAGGCTGCAGGTTTCTGAGTTAGACACTAGATGAAAACAATCTAAAAATCATAGAAAACTGAGAAGAGAGGGCAGATTTGATTGGACCTCAGCGGAAATGTCTTCCATGTCAGTACATTTTTTGTTTTGTAAAATTCTAAAATATAATTTACCGAAGATGTGAATTAGTCATTAACAAATTTACTACAGCCTAACTGCAGTATAACTGGGCTTGGAGGGCCAAAGGATAAAATTTGAAAATATGGGGTTTTTTCATTTTCCTTTTCCCACTTCTTTTTCCCTCCATTTTCCCACAAACCATCTTCATATCCATCACTACATTCACAAATCTTCTGTGTTTTTTTGCTCTTGCCTGGGAGCTCCATCTCTATCATCCTTTGTCCAGTGTCTCCACTCTCTCCTCAGCTCTTGTCAGTGTCTTTATCTGATCAAACTCTTCCCATGATAATTAGGTCAGGTCCCAGCGGAGATCGTACCTTCACTTACAGGACTTGTGGTTCTTTTTTTTCGCAGAAAAAAACCCTTTAAACATACATTGTATACTTTGTGGTTGGTGTCCTACTGCAAACTGAATTAGATTAAATCAGTAAAATGCTGATGATATTTTATCATAATTTCATGTCTGCTGGTTGTTCTGTGTTGATGAAATGATTCGAGACCATCAGTCAAATTTGTTACAACCTGGGTCATATATTGAATTTTATGTCTGGCTCTGAGGCTCTCTGCCAACAGGTGTGGACAGGGTCAGAGTCCAGAGCTGTTTGTTGTAGGGTACAGATGAAAGAAACTTCCAGGAAGAAAACAGGAACAAAGAAGAGCAGTTAATTTTTATTATATAAAATAAAGACTCACTGATGTTTCCCGGGCTCTGAGGGTCAAAGAACGTAACGACTCCACTCCAACGGTGTTTCTGGTGTCTGGTTGTTACAGCAGCTTCTTTGTAGGACCAAAATTCCCATTTTGACGCGTTTTTCTCTCGTAGATAAAAACAAAAATCGCGTTAGAAACAGCTTGAAACATTTTTTTTCAAATAGCCAAGGAACTGTCTTCTTTTCACACTTTTTAAAAAAGCCCCACATTACCGCCGCCATGTTCTCTGTTCACGAATGTATGACGCACGTTGTGCTGCATTTACATGGTGGCGGAACCTCGCATCTCCGGTTTAATTGTTTTCCCGAACTTTTTATTTATATTTTATATATATTATATTTCTATGGTTTATGTGTAACGTTCAGGGTATTTGGTACAATACCGTAGATAAGACGCTGGTATCAAGGCAAGTCGGCAACTACTAAAATATTGACTGAGTTGACGAGTTGTTTCCGGTAATAAAATTGTTTTTACGATCGTACCGATGCCACTTAAATGCAGCACTCACTTCAGGCACAAGTCTCTTGGGTAGGAATGGGAGCGCACGGAACGTATGATTTAAAAAAACACCGCAGTGCAGACAAAACTGTATATTTTATATAATCGGGGCTATTCGTTATTATATCGCACTTATAAAAATTACGTCATAATTCCCTGATATCGCGCCATTGTACACTCATTTGAGGAACGAAACGTCTATTAAGCTCCAAGACGTCCATTTGCAACTAAGGTCTTTGGATAACATGACTTGGATGAATGAGAATTTTCACAGACACGTTGTATTACAGTATAAAATATTTACACTTACTGCAATTGAATTAATCATGAATGAATTACTCATCACTTGGAGCTGCACTGCTTGTTCGTTTTGGTGGCTTCCACCAACGGTTGTCTGTGCAGTGGTGGATTGATATGATGTTGGGTGGTCCTATGACTAATTCATCATGATACATTTAGATAAAACAACACTCCTATACATGCTACGTTCTTCTGCTCTTTCAGATCCAAGAAGACTCAACATGAACAATGATTTCCTGTGCGCCATCTGTCTGGAGGTCTTCACTGATCCAGTCTCTACACCATGTGGACACAACTTCTGCAAAACCTGCATCAGCACACACTGGGACAACAATGTCCTGTTCAAATGTCCCCTGTGTAACGAGGCCTTCAACACCAGACCTCAGCTGAAGGTCAACACTATGGTCTCTGAGATGATCGCTCAGTTCAGATGTCGAGAAAGACAAGTTTCCAGAAAATCAAGAGGAGTTCTCTGTGACACCTGCACTGGAAACAAAGCCAATGCTGTCAAGTCCTGTCTGGTGTGTGTGGCCTCCTACTGTGAGACTCACCTGGAACCTCACCTGACAGCTCCACCTCTGAGAAAACATCAGCTGATTGAACCCATGGGAAATCTGGAAGACAGGGTGTGCGAGAAGCACCAGAAACCTCTGGAGCTCTTCTGTAAGACGGACCAGACGTGCGTCTGCTTGGTCTGTCCTGTTTTAGATCACAAGGATCACGAGTTTGTTCCTCTGAAGGAAGAGTTTGAAGGGAGGAAGGTAGAGCTGAAGACCGCAGGAGCTGACGTTCAGAAGATGATCCAGGAGAGACGTGTGAAGATTGAGGAGGTCAAACACTTAATGAAGGTGAGTCAGGATAAGGCGGGCAGAGAGATAGCAGAAGGTGTTCAGTTCTTCACTGCTCTGAAGGAGTCTGTGGACAGAGGTCTGGACAAGTTCGTCAAGAGGGTCGAGGACAAACAGACGGCAGCGGAGAAACAGGCTGAAGACGTCATCAGAGAGCTGGAGCAGGAAATCTCTGAGTTGGAGAAGAGGAGCACTGAGGTGGAGAAGCTCGCTCTCTCTGAAGACCACCCCCACCTCCTTCAAAACTACCCATCCCTGAAAGAAGCTCCACCCACCAAGGACTGGACAAAGGTCAGAGTGTGTCCACTATTATATGACAAAACTGTGGTCAAAGCAGTGGATCATCTGGAGGAGACTCTGAGACAACAGATGAAGACATTTAAGGAGGCGGTGGAGCTGAAGAAGGTCAGGGAGTTCGAGGTGGAGGTGACTCTTGATCCTGATACGGCAACACCTAATCTCATCCTCTCTGACGATGGAAAACAAGTGAGACATGGTGATAAGAAGAAGATTCTAGACATATTCGATATGTGTGCCTGTGTCTTGGGGAAAGAGAGCTTTTCTTCAGGCAGATTTTATTTTGAAGTTCAGGTTAAAGATAAAACTCAGTGGGATTTAGGAGTTGTCAGGAAGTCCTTCAACAGGAAGGGAAAGATCAATCGCAGTCCTTATCATGGTTACTGGTTGCTTGTATTGAGAAATACAGAGTACAAAGCTTATTCTGATCCTCGAGTCAGTCTCCGTCTGCCGTCTCCTCCTGAGAAGATCGGGGTCTTTGTGGATTACGACAAGGGTGTGGTCTCCTTTTATGACGTTAATACGGCAGCTCTAATCTACTCCTTTACTGGCTGCTCCTTCACTGAGAAACTCCACCCATACTTCGGTACCGGCACTAATGATGGTGGTAAAAACTCCGCCCCTTTGATCATCTGTCCTGTCTATCAAAATATGCGATCTTTTTTCTAATGAAACCCGAATGTGTGTTTCTGGAATCATCTGTTCAAGTCAATGATGTTGTAATACAGTAAATGGAGAAAACAGGGATTAACATTCAGATTCTTATTGTGACTTTAGCATTAGCCCTAATGGTACCTTGTGTTTTTATTAATACATCATCAACTGTTGTGGTTTTGAAAAACAAAACAAAAAAATATTCTGCTTTATTTTTAATCTTTGAGACCTGGGGTCAGTTTCACAGATCCCCAATAATCACTTATCACTTATCTTATTTAAAGGATTCTTGAATGAGATTCATAAGCTCAGCTTTGATCCAAATCAGGTTTGTTTTTTAAATTTAAAGAAGCCTGATCTAGACCATGTAAATAAATGTTTTTTTTCTTCTTATCTATGTGTATATTTAATCTTCAAACAAATGAGTGTTTTTTTCTTGTTGACCTTTCAGCTCACGATCGATCTTGCATCTAATCCAAAATCGCTTGGTGACTGTTGGACATGTGTAACATGTAACAAACACTGTTACAGTAACACGATCTACATGGATACAGAAATGACAGGTTTATACTCAGCTTGGTTCAGGTCAACAATAGAGCTGTGGTCTGAACAACTGGCGTTTTTGTGTAAACATAATTTTGAATTTTCCAGTTCACTTACAGACAAAATATTAGGTTATTATATATTAACATAGTTTGGAAAGTCTATACTTGTAAAAAGTCCAGATGTTAAAAGTGAAATGGTTGAAATTTGATGTAGAAGCTAGCTAAAATGTAGGTGAAACTTAGCCCAGAACCAGCCGAATAAGAGCACAGGACTTTCTTGCTTAGAAGCAGTGAACCATTTGTGTTTATTAAACATAAACTGTAATAAAACAGACCAAATCTCCTTAGTCTGCAGTACATGACCTGTTCATTTTCTGTACTTCCATAGTGCAACAAAAGCATCCTTGATGGGGGTTACAAATATGACAAATAAGATAGAAAATAAATATAATTATGTATTCAAAATATAATTAAATTATTAACATATACATTAAAAATAAGAATTCTTGTCTTGGGATTCTTGAACGTAAAAAGCGCCTTGCTAACAGCTGACTAACACATGGTGCCAGAGTAACTCGGATTGTCACTCCACTGTCTAACACATGGTGCCAGAGTAACTCGGATCGTCACTCCACTGTCACTGCATCCCACTGATGCAATAAGGTCCTCTATGGCAGTGATTCCCAACCATGAATCAATGAATTCATCACGAATCAATGATGAAAAATCATGGTACAAAAATGGTTGGGGACCGCTAATCGATGAGACACTGACAGGAGAAATTCAATACTTTTCCACTAGGCAACAGAGAACGTGAGTTGTTGAAGATGTTCTTGTCTCCCTTCAATTCCCTCAAGTATATCAGTGCTGTGTTCACTTAAGTAAGTGAATTGTGAGTAAATGGAAACTAGAAGATCATAATTTCAGTACGTATACTTTTTGTTTGTTTGTGCAAAATGTGCTCTGATTCCAAAAGGTTGGGAAACACTGCTCTACGTCGTCACTAGTAGAGCTTTTTTTAAAACAACATAAAGCTATTTTACCACTCGGCATGCAGTGGTTCCATTTATATAGTCAGCTCCCCCCTTACAGTTAAAGAAAACAAAGCCTGTTACTCACTGCATGTAACCCAATCATCATCCCCAAATAAAACTGTCAGTCTCATTGTTGCTTTTCTTACCACTGAGGCTAAAGGCTAATGTGCTTTCATTTTCAATCATTAGCTAAAACACAGGTTTGGTCCTGAAGCTGGGGAGAGTCATCATTTTGGCTGCCTAACGACTTCTCTCTTGCATGAATTTTCTCATGTTTCTTAAGGGACGATTTTTGAGTAAATCTTTTATCACATGCAGTGCAACTGAACGGTTTCTCTCCCGTGTGAATTTTTATATGCTTCCTTAGATGACCATTTTGTCTAAACCTTTGACCACAGGCAGAGCAACTGTAGGGTTTCTCTCCTGTATGGATTTTTTCATGTGCCACTAGATACATCTTCTGCATGAAACATTTACCACACTCAGAGCAACTAAACGGTCTCTCTCCTGTGTGAGTTTTTTCATGTTTTCGCAGATCACTCTTCTGGGCAAATTTTTTACCACACTCTAAGCAACCAAACGGTTTCTCCCCGGTATGAAATTTCTCATGTCTCTTCAGATCACTCTTATGTGTGAACTGTTTACCACACTCAAAGCAACTAAAATGTTTCTCTCCGGTATGAACTTTCTCATGAGTCCTCAGATTACTACTCTGTGTAAACCTTTTACCGCACACAGAGCAACTGAATGGTTTCTCCCCAGTGTGAATTCTCTCATGCGTCTTCAGCGGAACCCTTTCCGAAAATCGCTTACCACACACAGAGCAACTATACGGTTTCTCTCCTGTATGAATTTTTTCATGTCTCCTCAGGTCATACTTTTGTGTGAATCTTTTTCCACATTCAAAGCAACTGAACAGTTTTTCTCCAGAATAATTGTTGAGTTGTCTTAGTAGCTGGGACTCGTAGACAAATCTTTTATGATATTCCAAAAAGCTTTTCTTATCACTAATGTTACTCCCTATTCCGATGGGAACAGCTGTGTTTTTACTTGGTGTGTCTCTTGTCTCGTGGAACTCATCCTCACTGTTTTCAGTCTCAGAAGAATCTTCAGGTCCTGGTCTCAGATGGTCACCTGAGCCCCAGTTTCTGGTCCGTTCTGGCCCACTGCAGTCATCTCCTTTATCGGAGACGCTGTGATGTAGTTGTAAGAACTCAGCTGTCTCTTCATCTTCTTCACTCTTCACAACTACAGCAGTGATTTCAGCCTCTTCTTCCTCTTTAGTGGTAAAGTGTTCTGACTTCCAGGATTCCACACCACTGCTCCTCAACTTCTGGTCACAAGACGACACCGTTTTTATCAGCTTCTGGTTTTCTGTGGGAGAGAACAACAACAGAAATTAAATGTTCAAATGTGTTGAGTGTTAGAAGTTCATTTTATTAACTGCTAACAATTACTTGATGTTAAAGTCAAGTAAACAGTATTTTTACACCGTCGCGGAGTTACAAATAACAAACTAAATTCTCATGTACGTTTGAATAAAAGTGCTTAAATGCACGAATCTCCAATGTTGAATGTGACAGTTCTAATCTAATCTTTATTACAGGTTTGTGTACAGTGTATTTCACAGTACCTGGTCCTATGTGTCCATCCAAACTGGAACTGCTGCCTGGTTCTGGATCTCTATGTTCTCCTTTTGTCTCCTCTTTGAGACACTGGTGAAACAGCAAGACATCTGGATTTTCTTCATCTACACTCAATGCAGTCACAGCAATAATGTCTTCCTCCTCCTTTTTGATAGACACTTCCTCTGCTTCTTCTTTAATTCCAGGGTGCTGCAGCTCTTCCTGGACAAACTCTTCTTTAATCACCGGGAGCTGCCATTTGTCTGCAGTAGAGAAAGAAGAGACTAAAACTAAAGACCAGAATTCCCAGTAAATAGGCAACACAGCTACAGCATCACAGCCTCAAACGCCACTTATGTGTCATAGTTTTGACAGCTAGCTACAGTCGACTACAACATGGCGGCGCCCTGATCGAAGTAGTGTTTATTAGACACAAAGGGAAGTTTGAGGTTTGTTCCTCATGGACAAGCCTCATTTACTGACCTCTGGATACAAAGTACGGAAAACGACATGCTCATTTCAAATTTAACACTTATAGAGTGCACAGTTTACGCGACCTGTTTTGTTAAACATTAAAAGCTGTGACACCAGGTGTTAGCATCGTACATCAAAGAGCACTTCAGCGTTTTATTGTGTTTTTTTCTCGAAAACGAAGACGAAACTGACCTGTTATATGCAGCTTTACTTCAGACTTAAGCTCAGCATCGAGCGGTATACTCTGTGTGTAGAATTCCGGCTCTGAAAACTCGGTTACCCCCAACACACCGACCATCTCCTCCGCCATTAGTCGCCTAAAGACCAGAGTTCAGCCGCTAACAGCTCCAGGACCTGCGTCGTTTCGTCTCCGAATTCCAAGTCTCTTAGTCGCAGCGCTGGTTATCTCGTAGGAGATAATTTGCTATACAGTCACACAATCTGGATTTCATGAAACACTGCTGCTACTATCGACCGTTTTTCGTTTCTGAACGGAAGGTGGAGCTAACGGCTGGCTGCAAAAACATGGCGGTTCTATGAGCCCCAATATGATACATACATACATAAATGTCATTTAGAAGCGTCTAATAATAATAATAATAAAATACTTTCTAAAAATGACAGTCTTATTAACAGCCAATGATCCAATGTGCAAAAATGCTTCATAAATGTGTTTTTGGTATGTAATTTGACACTTTACAACAAGCAATATGTTTTTTGTTATAGTTTTATAAGTAGTACAGTTTTTATAAACACGTTTAAAATTTTGCAATGCATTTCTGAAAATTAGTGTAATGTCATTTATTATTCAATGGTTTTACTGTATATTCGTGGCACTTTGGCCCAGAGGTAATGTGTGGAACCCCAGGGTTCACCTCCTGGGCCAGATCCAATCCCGGTTAGAGCGGGTGGTACCTTCCAGTGGACTCACCACCTACGGGAAGGTTCATGAGGGGCTGGTGTGATTTGGGTGGCGGTCATGGAGACTGCTGCCCCCATGATCTGGTAACGGATAAGTGAACGAAAATGGATGGATGGATGGTTATATATTCATAACTGTGAAACACAAACATCTGATTTGTATAACGTCTGGTATATAGTATTATACCCAAACTTCACACTAAGAATATCCCCCTTCAAAGTAATCACCCTGTAGTGTGAAGTTTGGGTTTGAAATAAATCTTTTTAGACACCAGTCCTTGGACTTTTCTGACTGCAGACTAGTACTGTACCAAGTACTTTTATGTAGTAAAGCAAGAGCACTAACCACTGTGAAGCAATGCTTGAATTTGGTATTTCAACTATGCGTTTTGTAGAGACATTTATTTGAATGCTCTATGTTTTTTTACACCTTTTATAAAATAGAATCTTTTGGCAGAAAAGGAAAAACAAAGAATCTTCTATAGTATAGAAGATTCTTTGTTTTTGCTACCAAATGGATATGGTATAGAATCTATACCATAATCCATTTCACAGACCTGAAACAGCTGGAGCCAATCACAGCCCTCATTACATAAGGGCAGGGTACAACTGAACACTATGCTAATGATGATGAAAGAGCAACCGCTGTAGTTTTAATACATTCAATCCACAACATTTACACACCGTCTTTTACAGGGCACACCACTCACCTGTGAGTATTCTCATGCACCTTTAGTTTACTAGTACTTATAAATCCTTTACCGCACATGGAACAACAGAAAGGTTTCTCTCCGGTATGAGTTCTCTTATGTATCTGCAGATTATTACTCTGTTTAAATGTTTTATCACATATAGAGCAGCTGAACGGTCTCTCTCCCGTATGTATTCTTTGATGTGTCCTTAGATGACTATTCCGTGAAAAACGTTTATCGCACAAAAAGCACTGAAAAGGTTTCTCTCCTGTATGAATAAACGTGTGGTTCTTCAGTGTGGTTTTTAGAGAGAATAGTTTCCCACACACAGAGCAACTAAATGGTTTCTCTCCTGTATGAATTCTTTGATGGGTCCTTAAGTAACTATTCCTTGAAAAACATTTACCGCACAAAAAGCATTGGAAAGGTTTCTCTCCTGTGTGAATAAATGTGTGGTTCTTTAGAGTGGTTTTTAGAGAGAATAGTTTTCCACACACCGAGCAACTAAATGGTTTCTCTCCTGTATGAATCCTTTCATGTCTCTTCAGGTAATACTTTTCTGTGAATGTTTTGCCACACTCAACGCAGGTGAACAGTTTTTCTCCAGAATAATTGTTGAGTTGTCTTAGTAGCTGGGACTCGTAGACAAATCTTTTATGATATTCCAAAAAGCTTTTCTTATCACTAATGTTACTCCCTATTCCGATGGGAACAGCTGTGTTTTTACTTGGTGTGTCTCTTGTCTCGTGGAACTCATCCTCACTGTTTTCAGTCTCAGAAGAATCTTCAGGTCCTGGTCTCAGATGGTCACCTGAGCCCCAGTTTCTGGTCCGTTCTGGCCCACTGCAGTCATCTCCTTTATCGGAGACGCTGTGATGTAGTTGTAAGAACTCAGCTGTCTCTTCATCTTCTTCACTCTTCACAACTACAGCAGTGATTTCAGCCTCTTCTTCCTCTTTAGTGGTAAAGTGTTCTGACTTCCAGGATTCCACACCACTGCTCCTCAACTTCTGGTCACAAGACGACACCGTTTTTATCAGCTTCTGGTTTTCTGTGGGAGAGAACAACAACAGAAATGAAATATTCAAATGTATTGAGTCTTGTAAATGTAGTAAATAAATATTTGCATAATTTTGTAATTGTTTTATATTAATCTATGCAATTGCAGTGCCTTGATTTTTATTGAGGTTTAGTTCACAGTCATAGCCATAAATGCAATGGTACTAATAATTGGCATAACAATTTATTTTGTTGTTACGGTTTTCGGCCTTGGTTTCTTCATTTTCAGACAACAATTTTAATTTCGGTGCATCCCTAGTTAAAAGGCAGACACGCAGTATTTTAAATTTGAATTTGACAGTAGTGATAGATGTAGAAGTTGGTCTGTTTATAACACCAAGATATAATGAATCTTTGGTTTCGGGTTTGTGTACAGTGTATTTCACAGTACCTGGTCCTACGTGTCCATCCAAACTGGAACTGCTGCCTGGTTCTGGATCTCTATGTTCTCCTTTAGTCTCCTCTTTGAGACACTGGTGAAACAGCAAGACATCTGGATTTTCTTCATCTACACTCAATGCAGTCACAGCAATAATGTCTTCCTCCTCCTTTTTGATAGACACTTCCTCTGCTTCTTCTTTAATTCCAGGGTGCTGCAGCTCTTCCTGGACAAACTCTTCTTTAATCACCGGGAGCTGCCATTTGTCTGCAGTAGAGAAAGAAGAGACTAAAACTAAAGACCAGAATTCCCAGTAAATAGGCAACACAGCTACAGCATGCCTCAAACGCCACTTATGTGTCATAGTTTTGACAGCTAGCTACAGTCGACTACAACATGGCGGCGCCCTGATCGAAGTAGTGTTTATTAGACACAAAGGGAAGTTTGAGGTTTGTTCCTCATGGACAAGCCTCATTTACTGACCTCTGGATACAAAGTACGGAAAACGACATGCTCATTTCAAATTTAACACTTATAGAGTGCACAGTTTAC